ATCAAACTCGAAATATCATATACTTTGATGTAAAGAGAGTGATACTTAGGAAGATAATAATAGGATGGTCATACTAGTACCGTAGTACTTAATTGCAATCTGGTCAAGTACAAATCTATGCAATATCCATCTATTCTATATTTCTTTTTGAATTAGCAATCAATGCTTCTTTTCTTTTGTTTTTTTTAGCATTTTGTCTTTGTATGTGATTGTTCATTTGGGTTGGGTGGGGTGGAGAGGGAATTGTAACCCATATCTTTGCTAGTTGCAAGCATTATTTTGCAGATCTAGTTTGAAAAGGAAACAGGCAAATGAATAAATCTATAAATAACTTAATTAAACAGAACAAACAATTCTCAGATGGGGACATGGTTAGCTAATAGCTAAAACGTGTACTACTGGTGTCATCTTCTCTAGACTCAGCACTTAGGTCACCCAAAATTAGAGGTGACAAATTAACCCATTTTAAAACTTGTTTGACCAAGCTGGAGAAATCAGCTTATTTTGAGAAGTGCTTTTGAAAAAAGTACTTTTGGAGAGAATCAGTTTGTGTTTGGCTAATCAGTCTGAAAAACACTTTTGAGAAATAATTTGTGTTTAGCCAAACTTCTTCGAAAGTGCTTTTAAGTGTCAAATTACGAATAAGGACATGAATAGATTTACTTAATAATTAATATTATAAGTAAATAAATAATATCAAAATTTTGTTATTACATGCAATAATTAAAAAAATTCATTTTATTTAAGTAAAATATGAAAATAAAATTAAAAGGTACTTAATTATTTTAATATAAGTTAAATATATTAAAATTCCTTCAAAAAATATAAAAGCATTCACCCCTAAAGTCACTATATATTAGAAAGTTTCCTAAAAATAAGAAGAAAAATTTATAAATTAATATCTTAAGTATTAGGTTTAAGGGTTATTTTGGTATATACTATATTTTGTTAAGGGTATTTTAGGTAAGAAGAAAAGCCAAAACTGCTTCTGCTTTTGGAAAGAAGCTACTTTTTTCTGCTTCTCTGAAACTGCTTCTGCTTCTTCCCAAAAACACTTTTTTTTCCCAAATAAGCTTGGCCAAACATCTCAAATTAGGAAAAAAAATGTGCTTTTGGGAAAAAAAATACTTTTTTGTCTTGAGAAGCTTGGCCAAACAGGCTATTAGTAATCCGTCAAGGTTTAAGCCGGTTGGATTATGAGTTGTTGTAATCCGTCAAGGTTGTAAAAATTGCACGGGGCGCCCAAATTGCGCCCTATTTGGTCGCCCCCATTTAACTTATANTTCTGTTCTTTTCACGTTTATTGTTTCCAAAATTTATGATTTAAATACTGTTGGCAATCTGATTGTTTATCTAGTATGTTAGAAAGTTTTTTCAAAAATTTCAGCTTATATAGTGCTGATGTTTTTACAAATGAACTAAATAACTTCAACATCTTCTGTTGAAGTTTTTGAAAAATCTTTATGACAAAACTAATGAATCCAGGACAAAAAAACTTTAGCTTTTAGTGCTGAAGTTTTTACAAATGAACTAAATAACTTCAGCATTTTTTGTTGAAGTTTTTGAAAAAGCTTATCCAGGACAAAAAAACTTCAGCTTATTTAGTGCTGAAGTTTTTATAAATGAACTAAATAACTTCAGCGTCTTCTGCTGAAGTTTTTGAAAAAGCTTAATGACAAAACTAATGAATCCAGAACAAAAAAAAACTTCAGCTTATTTAGTGCAATTACAAAAAAAAAAACTTCAGCAAATTAAGCTACTATGCTTAAGTTCAGCAATTACAAAAAAACAACTTCAGCAAATAGAGAACAAAACTTCAACTACTATGCTTAAGTTCAGCAATTACAAACAAAAACTTCAGCACACTTGCTACTTCAGACCCGTTTACTAGAATGCTGAAGTTTTTGCGTGATTGTCTTTGCTACTTCAGCCCCGTATGCTGAAGTTACGCGAAAAAGTGGGTACACTTGCAATTTTTTTTGCAAAGCGAGCACAAGTTAAAACATGACCCAAAAAGCGGGTATAGATGCAAATGCCCCGTCAAGATTTACTTCGAAATGATCCATTAAGCGTTAAAATGAGCCAAAAATAGTATAACCTGATAGATCAACATGCAATTGAAATTCAAACATAAGAAATTAAATATGGAGAAAACTAATAATTTTAAAAATTACTTTAGGTTAAGCCCTGTTGGATGGATTGAATATATTTCAATGTTTAATCCATTTTGCCCTATTTCATTTTAACTCGATCAAATATTAGATATATTAAATATGATCCACTTATTGATTTGATCCATTTTAATATTGATTCAAACCGCCTATTGCCCCCTCCACATTCAAAACTTAAAATGTAGCAAGTCCAACATAATGTGAACACATAATTAATATATAACGAGAATAAACAATAGTGGACCACATGTTGTTGAGAGTTGAGAGTTGAGAGTGAGGATTAGTCCAAAATTCCAAAGTGTGAAGTGTGAACATGGCTATTCTTCCTCTATTCAAACCTAACCACCCCTTTACTTTATAAAATAGCAAAGCCAAGCTACAAAACTCTTGAACCATGGACATGTTGGCTGTTGCTGTACTGAAATCTGTCCAACTATTTATTACTCTACTTAAATTAAAATAAGAAAATAAAATAGAATTCAAATTGGTGGAGAAAGAGAATCGCGCTAATCAAAATTTGGAGAAAAATGTCATGTGATGAATAACCAAGAACAAAAGAGAGGAATATTAAAAAAAAAATAATGTAATGAAAAAGAAAGTCATTGCTATAATAAGGACTATCTACTGGTTCATATAAATTGTGTCAAGCAAGCTATATGACTAGCTACCTAGTTCCTATGTTTCGTATATATATTGCAAAAAAAAAAAAAGAGGTTAAAATTACTTATTATAGTATATTTCATAAGTTATAGTACCATGGTTTAAGTCTGTCATTTCTTGGAGTGCAAATGTGCAAATTGATAAACTTTTTGGTGTTTGTGACTTTCATCTGTGAGACGCTCCTCTAACAATCATTCAGACATGCTTCTATATATATGTTCATACTCTAATTTTGAATAGATTTTTCATCATATGAAGGTCTACCAAATCCAACACTGTCTTATCTCGTTCTCTATTTTAGAATGCTTAACTTTTTAAACACTCATATAAACTTTCACATCAATCAAAACTTAAAAAAACAACGAATAATATGGAAGAGAAAAAGGACTACTTTGACAAGTTTAATTCTGCTGTTGTATTTGATTTAATGATTGAAAATCTAACATTACAAGTTGAAACGTTTTGGCCACAAAGTCAAAACACCATATCACATACTTTGATGAAAATTAGAAATCTTAGTTTGATGTAACGAATGTAAAAATAATAGGAAGATAGTAATATTATTACTCAATTAGTATACTACTTAATTCTAATCTTAGTCAAGTACCAATCTATGTGTTATCCACATCCTCTATTTTACTTCTTGAAGTTACCAAAATAACGCTTTTCTTTTGCTTTTTTAGCATCTTAATTGGTAGTACCTCTCTTCCATTTTTTATGCGCACTATTTTTTAGTGTAGTTTATTTAAAAAAGGATAATATATTTTTATATTTAAAAATAATTTAATTTTAAACAAGTATTTTTTTACGTTCTGACGACATGCTTTTATTGACAAGAAATCTCATCGTTTAAGATTATAAATTTTAAAAGTTACTAGTATATAATTAAATACTGCTATATAAATTGAAACTAAGGAATATGTGATGGTTCCGGTTTTAGAGGATGTAGCCCATTTTTGTTTTAGTTGTTTATAAACATTAAGAACTGTTTCTGATTATTGAGATTGATGATCATGTGTACATATTCAAGCATCAATGCTTTGTCTTGTTTAGATTCCAAAATACCCATCAATATTTACATAATTAATTTTCAACCATCTCTTAAAGTCCACAATTTGGTTAAGACAAGAAAGGTCATTTTTGACATTGGAATGACAGGTTTTGTCTCTCTGTAATCCCCAAGGGATAAGGAAAATGAAACACTACAACTTGCAATTAAACAAACAACTACTAGCAATTAATTATTCTTAAACAGCGATTGCCATTTAAGTCTTGCCAGGTGGCTCATGGATGACGATACTAGGGTGACAACATAGGAAGAACGTCATCAGTAATGGCCTAAAACTCTCTTAACGCACCTTGTGGCGCGTGCAAACCAATGCAATTACATTATATTCCTCCCGAAGTGTTTGTTACAACCTACTTAGGAAAGTTTTTCCACTGAAAATGTCATTTTCTCTATAAAAATACAACCATATATACAAAGTTAAAGATGATTTGAAATCATATTATTTAAATGATTTTTTATTATTAAAAAAAGGATAACAACAACTAATTGTTTATTCAAACAAACAATAAAATATTAGTATTGAGTAAGAGTTTTGATATTTGTAAAGGAAATGACTTGTATTTATAACATGGAAGTTATTCTCACTTTTAATAATAATTTCTGTAACTTTAAAATATATTGAGAATTTATTTTACAAAGATAAACATACGTCCAAGAAAATATTTTACATTCATAATATTTTTTATGTCTCAAATTATGTATTATCCTTTCCCTTTTAATCTGGTACAAAATTAGTATCATACCTTTTTTTATTTAAAAATAATTTAATATTAAAATTTTTGTTTTATTCTTAATGAAATACTTTATAATCATACAAATATATATTTATTTGTTATTTTAGATAATAAAATTTCCAAGAGGAATGCTTTTTTTTCAAAATTCTAAAAGTTTAATCAAACACTGCACAAATTTTCATGGACGTCCAAAGTGGTCCAGTGGTTCATGAACCTGATCCATCATTGTCTTAATCACTCGAGTGAAAAGCAAAAGATTCCACTAATGCGCGTGGGGTTCGTTTTTTCCACAAGCTGAGGCGAATTTTCCTTCTAAGCTTCCATTAATTTACTAAGAATTCACATTTTCTTACATATATGTGCACTCATGTTTCTTAACTTGTTGCAAGCTAATAAATACTTCACATGGAGTCTCCGTTGCCGGAAAAGTCATCAGCGGATCTGAAAAGGGCAATCGACGGGTTAATTCGTGGCCAGGAATTTACACGACAATTAAAAGAGATAATCAAGAAACCTCTTGCAACCATTATGGCTGAGGATTTAGTTGGAAAAATTATGAATTCATTTTCTGAGACTCTTTCCGTCATAAACTCCGGCGAGTCCGATGAGGATACCGCCGAAGTTAAGTCGCCGGAAGATTCTAGTGGAAGTTGCAAGAGTACTACTACATCATTCAAAGATCGAAGAGGATGCTACAAGAGAAGGTGATTTTATTATTTACTCCTTTTGTTTTATTATTAGTGAATTTCATACAGTAAATAATTTTCATGAAGGGTATCTTAGTCTCTTTATGTTGATGGGGGACAAAGTATACCTGTTGCTCATGCACCTTCTGATTTGGATTTAACTGTCTTTATTGGTTGATTGGTTCTCTTTTAGTTAATTATTGGGCTGAGTACATAGACCGCCTCTTAAACTTGTACCGTTTTTCCACTTAGACACTTATGCTAAGGCTTGTACCTATTAAATACTTTATCTCTATTAAAATGTGTCTATTAAACACAAATATGACAATTCTAAACCAAATGAAGTGCGTGCATATCACTCTCTTCCGACCTAACAACCAGAATCAATAAAAATATTACATGTCAGCAAACAAAAAAAGATATATAAAAAATAAAACCAAAATAATCTGTCTAACGAACGATAAACCCACTAGATCTCTTCTTTTATCGATCAAAGCAAACAACAGACACACATTCATGGAGTTGTACAATTTACCACTTGTTGTTGTTGTTGTTATACACCACCTATCCTCAACTGGGCGTTGAAGTAGAGAAACCTACATACTTCAATTCCTCAAGAATTGGGGAAGAGAACTCAAAATTGAGTAAGTTGTTTTAGTTGAAGAAAGAGGCGAGGAAAACAAGGCTCTGTTTTGTTGAATTAATGAATGAGTTTTGTTGAAGAAAAAGAGAAGGTGAGGAACAAAGTTATGTTTTGTGGATTTGTTGTGTTATCACCATCGAATTTTGGAATGGAAAAACCATGGCCGCCCAATTTGGCATATGCTCAGATAATTACATAAGTTAATGCGGTAAAAGGAACAAGCCTTTCGAGTGAGGTGGTGGTAGCGATAGCTAGATCTGAAGAAAAAGGAAAAAAAATGGTTGACTTGGTCGATATAGCCGGAGAAGAAAAGAATGTAGGCTAAAAAAGATGATCGTTGAATTTTTATTTTTCCGGCGAGAACTTGTGCTTCCAGCAGGATAGTGTAAAATTAATGCTTTTACGCGTTAGGAAGAAGTGAGAACCACACGTTTTTATACATCAGCAAAAAGTGTTTAAAAGATACGTTTTTTACAACATTAGGTGTCTAATAGGTACAGGTTTTAGTATAAGTGTCTAAGTGGAAAAAAGGTGTAAGTTTACGGGGCTGCCTATGTATTCAGCCTAATTATTGTGAAGTAAGGTTGGATTCTTGATGGTTATTGACTACTTTGTCCTTGAAGAAATGCTAGAAATACAAAAAAGGGGATGGTCCCTCTTGGTGATAAGATTATTTAAGATTTTCTATATTGAATGATAATTTTCATATAGTTTATTGCATAAATTGCAATAATCATGTAGCTCACTAGGTAGAGATAGATCTAAGAACAAGTCAATGAGTGTAGAATATCGTTACGCTAGTTGTTTATTTATGACAATGTCTTAGAAAATTTATAATCTCTAAAATACATATACTCTGTAATTAAGTAAAGTAATTTTAAGAACAAATTTTCTCATGAGTTATTTGGAAATTATTTCATGCAGGAAAACTTCAGAAACAAACACAAAAGAATCCTCAGATTTGGTGGATGATGGCCATGCTTGGAGAAAATATGGACAAAAACAGATCCTCCATTCCACTTATCCAAGGTTTGATTTCACAATTTATTTTAGTATTTTTTCCCAATCAAGATAGTTATGTAATTATAGAGTATGTGATATTATGTAATTAAGCACTCTATTTGTTTTATTAATGATTGGTATATAAATGAATATGCAGGCACTATTTTAGGTGCACCCATAAATATGATCAAAATTGTCAAGCAACCAAACAGGTGCAGAAAATTCAAGACAATCCACCACTGTTCCGGACAACATACTATGGAAATCACACATGCAAACCTTTCCCTAGAGTTTCTCAAATAATTTTGGATACTCCTATTCATGGCGATTCCTCTATTCTACTTAGTTTTGATCGTAACAACAACAATAATAACTACTCTTCAATCCAAAACGTTAATTATAATTACCAGCCTTATAATATTCCTACATTTCCCTCAATAAAACAGGAAACCAAAGAGGAAGTATTCCAAAGATCATGTACTTTCTATCCAAAAATAGAAGATCAAAACCAATCATCAAACTCTGATAATTTTCTACTAGCCAATGATGATCATCTGAGTACTCTTACAGTATTTGAAGCCTCCGACGGCCATATGGCGGCGACATTATCGCCGGATGTCATATCATCTGGGGTCTATTCTTCTTGTACGACTAGTACAGATAATCTTGAGATTGATTTTGATTTTGAGGAGAGTCTTTGGAATTTTGAAGGGTACAATTCTTGAGTAGTTAATATTTGAGGGTGAAATAGCTTGATAGAGATGTTGTATAAATTTTGTATTATGTTGACGTAGAGATTGCAGCAAATTAAAGCACTATGTGCTTTGGTATAAAAGTATAAATTTGACTTCGACATTTTATTTGGTGTAATGGTAGGCCTAGCTAATTTTATCTCTTTCTTTCTTTTTTCTCCTAAAGAAAATCTAAAATTTAAACAGATCAACAATAGCATCTATCAAAGAAAAATAATTGTATGAGTTAAATTTATCATAAAATAGAAGAAGATAAAACAACGTGCTAACTGGTATATCAATGCTAACCATGTCCAGGGATACCATGGAAAATATGCTCCAAATTAAGACATACCACGCGATATTAAATTTTTTGACTCTGTCAATATGTCGAGAAGTGGATTCAATTCTAATTAAAAATATGTGCAAAGTTTTGTTTTTACTACTCTTCAAATACGTACGATTTTATATTATACAGTGTGTGATAATTTTATGCTCCAATTGCAATTATCATTGTGCGTTGTCCTCTTACAATTGTTAACTTAGAAAGGAAAAGAAACAATGTGATTCATTGTAACACCCCACACATTCGGATTAGGTATGAATGACTTAAAGAAGTAGTAAGGTTATATTTTGGACATATGAAGTCCCATCGGGATAATTATGGGTGAAAATAGTTGTTTCAAAATGAAGATGGAAAGTGAGGTGCATAAGATTTGACAAAATCGACTAAATTTGCAGAAGGTCCGTATTCCAGCAGGTTTTAGTGAAAATATGTAAGGAATTTGGGAAAAACTCAATGCATGAAAGTTGTAGGCCTTTGCAATAGCTTTCCAACGATATATTGTGGAACTCAAACGGAGCTCTGTGCAAAAAGTTATGCCCGTTTTACAGAATGGTGTGTAACCACTGCGGTCTTGCCGCGTTTTTACCGCGACCGCGATGGTGAGGCAGTGTCCCAGCGATTTACCGTGGTCGGGACCGCGGTGGCCAACTTGGGAAGTCATTTTTTTAGCCCTATTTCGTCCCCCACAGCCCCAAAACATAAAAACTTGCTCTAGAAAGGGAAGCTCTCAAAAACCTAACTCCTTAAAGGTCCCTCCGCCATCCAAGGTAAGTTCTAATGAAGATTCTAAGTTAATTTCAATTTTCCAACATCTTATTAACATGAGTAAACCCTCCATATCATTAGATATTCGATTGAGACATCGTTGTTGAGAGAAGAACCCTAGAACTCGAATCCAAGGGGATTGAACTTCAAAAAGGTAATGTATTCATCCTCTAATTGATTCTAGCATTGGATTAATGATTATAGACTCTAGTTCATGAGATATGAGTTGATGAGTTTGATAGAAAAGCATGAACGATTATAGGTTTGGGGTGTTAATTGTTGATTATTGGTTAATGATGTTGTTTACCTAATGGGTGATAAAAAATAATGTTGATTATAACCATTTGAGACTTTAGAATTTATTTAGGAGCAAGAGAATGAGTTATTGGGTGTAGAAACACTATTAATAAGGATTATGAAGCTTTATGCCACCAAATGTTTGAGAAAACGCCTAAGTGACCAAAACATGAGTATTATTGCTAATATGGAATCCCTTTGACTTGTATTGATATAGATTGAAGTTGAAAAGGTTGGCGAATGTTGTATTACGCTCAAGAGCAGGAAGTTAAGGTATGTGAGGCTAACTCTCTATGTTTTGGAATGTTAATGATTCTCCCTACACTACATTTCTTTTACGACGTATCTATTGCCTCAAAAATATAGTTAAGCCTAGTTCCTTAAATAGTTGTAGAACTTCTATTCTCTAGCTTCATAACTCGTTCATGACTTTCATTCTAAACGTTGTGAGATCAGTTCGTATTCGTTATAGACTTGGGATTGATGTCCCTAAGTCTCAGTATAGCTTACTCAACATATCATAAACAGTTGAAGTTTCAGTGTTCATAATCAGTTCAAGAATACATGTCTCATTCTAGTCCTATCCAGTATTCCAGTATCATGTAACACAGCGTGATTCAGTATTTCACTATTATGTATTGCAGTATGATTCTCAATTGTTAATTTTAAATCCCTGAATGTCGAACACCTATATTTGGGCCTGAGGCCGCAGTTAATGCTTTA